TGCGTGCCCAATGTAGATAGGCTTCCGGAGTTGATTCTGGAGGAGGCCTATAGCTCGCGGTACTCTATTCATCCGAGTGTCGCGAAGATGTATCAGGATTTGAGACATCATTATTGGTGGAGGAGAATGAAAAAGGACATTGTGGGATTTGTAGCTCGGTCTCTCAATTGTCAGCAGGTGAAATATGAGCATCAAAGACCGGGTGGCTTGCTTTAACAGGTGGATATTCCAGAGTAGAAGTGGGAGCGGATCACCATGGATTTTGTAGTTGGACTCCCATGGACTTTGAAGAAGTTCGGTGTTATTTGGGTGATTGTGAATCGGCTGACCAAGTCCGCGCACTTCATTCCTATGTGCACTACCTATTCTTCAAAGCGGTTGGCAGAGATCTATATTCGAGAGATTGTTCGCTTGCAAGGTGTCCCAGTTTCCATCATTTCAGATAGAGGTACTCAGTTTACTTTGCAATTTTGGAGGGCCGTGCAGAGAGAGTTGGGTACTCAAGTCGAGTTGATCTCAGCTTTTCACCCTCAGACAGACAGGCAGTCTGAGTGCACTATTCAGATATTGGAGGACATGTTGCGTGCTTGTGTCATTTATTTTGGTGGTTCATGGGATCAGTTTCTACCGCTCACAGAGTTTGCTTATAACAAAAGTTATCAGTCGAGTATTCAGATGGCTCCATATGAGGCTTTGTATGGGAGACAATGTAGATCTCCAGTTGGTTGGTTTGAGCCGGGTGAGGCTAGGCTTTTGACTACCGACTTGGTGTAGGATGCTTTATACAAGGTGAAGGTGATTCAGGAGCAGCTTCGTACAACGCAGTCGAGACAAAAGAGTTATGCTGACAGGAAGGTTCGTGATGTGTCCTACATGGTTGGGGAGAAGGTTCTATTGAAAGTTTCACCCATGAAGGGTGTTATGAGATTTGGGAAGAAGGGTAAATTGAGTCCTTGGTTCATTGGGCCTTTTGAGGTGCTTCGGAGGATTGGGAAGGTGGCTTATGAGCTGGCCTTTCCACCTAGCTTGTCGAGTGTGCATCCAATATTTCATGTTTCTATGCTCCGGAAGTATATTGGCGATCCGTCTCATGTTTTGGATTTTAGCACGGTTCAGTTAGATGGTAATTTGACTTATGATGTAGAGCTAGTGGCTATTTTGGAGCGTCAAGTTCGAAAGTTGAGGTCAAAGGATATAGCATTAGTGAAAGTGCAGTGGAGAGGTCAGCCCATGGAGGAGGCTACCTGGGAGACCTAGCGGGAGATACGGAGCAGATATCCTCACCTATTTGAGGCTTCAGGTATGTTTCTTGACTCGTTCGAGGACGAACATTTGTTTAAAAAGGGGAGGATGTAACGACCCGGCCGGTCGTTTCATGAGTTACCGCTCTGTTTCCCCCATTTCTGCTTCTTTATGTCTCGTTCAGCTGTATTATGTGGTATTGGGGTGGTTGGTTTGGGTTCGGAGTGGTTTTGTAGAGAAATGAAACACTTAGTCTCTTTTGAGCAAGCTTAAGTTGAAAAAGTGAACAGGATGTTGACTTATGGGTAGAAGGTCTTGGATGTGAATTCTGATGGTTCGGATAGCTTCGTTAGGTGATTTGGGACTTAAGAGAGTGATCAGAATGTATTTTGGAGATCTGTGGTAGATTTAGGCTTGAATTGACGAAATTGAAAATTTGACATTTTCCGGTCTGCAGTGGAAATTTTAATATCGGGGTCGGAATGGAATTCCGGTAATTTGGAGTAGGTCCATTGTGTCATTTGTGACTTGTGTGCAAAATATCAGGTCATTCGGGTGAGGTTTGATAGACTTTTTGATTGTTTGCGGAATTCAGAAGTTCTTGAATCCTTAGGCTTGAATCCGAGGGTGATTTGATGTTTTGATGTTGTTTCGAGTGTTCCGAAGGTTGGAAAAAGTTTTAATGATGTTATGGGATATGTTGGCATGTTTGGTTGAGGTCTCGAGGGCCTCGGGTGTGTTTCAGATGCTCAACGGGACATTTTGGACTTGAGGAGTTAGCAGTTTTGCTGGTATTCTGTTGCAGACGATTTATTCTTCGCGATCGCGTAGGCTTGGTTGGGCAGAGGTGAGATTTGTTCTACGTGATCGCAGAAGTTAGGATGTGATCACAATTGGCTGTGAAATTGTGGTTCGCGAACGCGTGGCTAGGGTCGCGTTCGCGTATGAGAGAAGGAGCTGGTGATGAGTGGAGAGGTTCTTCTGTGCTATCACGTGGGAGAGGCCGTGATCGCGTGAGTTAGCAAAGGCAGTGCTTCGCGATTAAGATGAAGGGAGCACCTGGGCTAAATGTATAAAAATCAATCTTCGCGATTTTTAGCCCATTTATCACCATTTCTGAACGGCTTGGAAGATTTTTGAGAGGGATTGAAGAGGGAATCGAAGGGAAACATTGGAGGTAAGGTTTTTGAACTCAATACTCGATTTTATGGTAATTTCCAACTAATTAGACGTGAAATTAGTGGGATTTAAAGCCTAAAATTGCGGAATTAGAGCTTGTAATTGGAGAGCTTTGAATGGGGATTTGTGGGGCCATTTGAGGTCCGATTTTGATGTTTTTGGTATATATGGACTCGTGGGAGGATAAGAATTCTATTGATGTGATTTTTGTCGGATTTCGAGACGTGGGCCTTTGGGGTTGGGTTTGGCCAATTTCGGGATTTTTGAGTTAATTTGATTATTTTCGCTTGGGCTTTGTTCCTTTAGCGCGTATTAATGGTATGATACTAATTTTGGTTAGATTTGGAGCATTAGGAGGCCGATTCAAGAGGCAAAGGCATCGCGGGCTAGAGTTTGGACCGGATTGAGGTAAGTAATAATTGTAAATGTTGTCTTGAGGGTATGAAACTCCAGATTTCACATCGTTGTGCTACTTTGAGGTGACGCACGCGCTAGATGACGAGTATGGGGTCGTGCACCGTTGGGGATTGTGACTTGGTTCATCTTGTACGACTGTTAAGTTGCGTATTTGATTGAAAACTGTTTGATATCATTGTGTTTTGGAAAGTATTTCCATGTTTTGGGCTCAATGCCATATTTGGGCCTCGTGCCAACTGTTTTGGACCCTTAGGGGCTTTCTATTCCTAATTGTTTTGACTCAATATCTGTACTCAGCTATGTTGTATTCTACTGTTTTCATAACTCAGTCGTATTTACTCTGCTTTGATATTTTGGGCTGAGCATCATGTATTACTGTTGCCCGAGTGGCTTGAGAGGTTTCTGACTGAGTAAGGTCGAGGGCCTGTGTTGCGAGGATATTTTGGGATCGGGTTGCGCGGCACAACATGTTTTACTGATTTACGATATATAAGAGGCCGAGGGCCTGATTTGTTATGCCATGAGATGGCTTGTGATAACGTTTGGGCTGTAGGAGCCCCTTCGGAGTCTGAACACCTCCAGCGAGTACGGGTACCCAGTGTGAGAGATGTGATATCGCCCGAGAGGCTGGTATTGTTTCACGTTGTTTCCCGAGGGGTTGATTACGAGTGTTTGTGAGGTAGCCCGAGGGGCTGGTTCTGTTGATATTTTGCGCGAGAGGCGGTTGTGATTCATGTTTTCCCCAAGGGCCTGTTTACGTTTCTATGCTTTTACTCAATGTTTTCATCACTCGTTTGAAACTATTGAAAGATGTTTTAAAAAGGTTTTACTAAACTGAATTGTTTTTACGAGTTTATTGATTTACTGTATTGTTCTGGACATATACTGTTTTGTTGTAGTGCTATGACGTGAAATTACCTGTGTTTCTTATTGCTTAGCTGCTTTTACTTTTATTACTTACAGAGTTAGCATACTCACATTACTCCATGCGCCTTGCGGGCAGATCCAGGAGTCTCGGGACGTGATAGTGAGTGCTGATCAGTCTTCCAGCAGGTCTCCGGAGTTGACTAGGTAGTTGTTTGGCGTTCGCAGCCCTGTGCTTCTCCCTCCTATCTTATTCAGATTGTCTTAGTATTTTATTTTCGGACTATGTTGTCCTTTCTTGTTCCTAGACGAGTTTGTAGTTGCTCATGACTGGTGACACCCCGATGTCGGACTTGTGTTATATTTCCGCACTGCTTGTTTAAAATTATATTATGGGATTTTAGTTAATTAATGGTTTTAAATGACTTCTTATGATTTTCTGGTTGGTTTTGGGTTTGTGTCGGCTGGCCTAGTTTCACGATAGACGTCATCACGACCGGGTCAGTTTTAGGGTCGTGACACATAATTACCCAATTATCTACATAATCAAGAATTATCTCAAATTACTTAAGTTACTACTCACACTACTGAAAAATTGGCCTACGGTAACACATGAAAAATCGTTTCCACAGACTGTATAGACCGTTCCATCAACCCCGTGCCAATAGGTCTATGGGAACGGTTCTTGCAGCGATTTTCGTCACTGTGGTTATAGATACGTCTATCACAACAATTTTCCCTTTCTCTGTTGGAACGATTATTTTTTCCAATTGGAACGGTTTAAAACCGTTCCTATATTGTGTATGCAACAGTTCTTAACTGTTACCATATTATTTAATGGAACACTTATGTAAGCTATTGTTACGGTTATGCATGGATATAACAACGGTTTCTTTAAGCTATCACAATGGTTTTATTTGTCTTGGAACAGTTTATAGATATTTTGGAACGGTTTATACGATCTATTGCAACGGTTTGTATTGTATAATGGAACGTCATTATGTCCTACTGCAACGGTTTTGGTAGGCTATTGTAAAAGTTCAGTTAAAACAAAAATATAGCACCTGTTATTAATAAATATTTATATATATAATAAATTATAATAACACTAAAATTTAAATAAATCATAAAATGAAACTATTAATAATATAATTTATCCATAAAGCAAATGTTCTATCCCAAATGCATAAGTTTAATACATTTCAAGAGAGTAAGTTTCAATAATATTGATAACAAAAGATTCCTATAGAACATTCATTTATAGCAATTCAAAATTCATTTCAAGTAAGGTCTAGTTCTTCACTTCCATCATCTTCTTCCATTTGTTGATCTACTCCACCTACAAAAGAGGATAAATAAAGTCATTACTCTTCACGAGAACTACTCGTTTCAAAACCAAAAATGGATTTTTTGATATAATTCAACATAATCTAAAAAATGTCAAAAACATGAATGATTTAAAAAATTAGTCAAGCTAGGCCATGAATTAACTCTAATCTTCTTTAATTTTCATTTTCATTTCATCATATATAAGAATAGAAGACAGTTCATTCTTCAGTTCTTATGAATGTTCATGGTAATTTTAGCAACCTCAATTGTTTCTATTAAGACATACATGCTGTTGTCCAAGGCATACCTCTTGTCCAAGTTTCAGACATAGTAATTCGAATAGAAGTTCTGACTATCTCTATAAGAAATTAAAATAAGATAAAAGGATCATATATAGCAGATCATGAAGACAGTTCATTCTTCAGTTCTGAAGACAGAACTTGGTACAAAATTCACCTCCTAATGTGGAGTGAAGAAAGCACTGAACTCACCTAGAAAAATGATAATCAACTACTAAATGATCTCAGAATCGAAAATTAACAAGAAAATCCAACTATTATCTTCCAAAGTTCAAATCTTTGCACTAAATTCAACCAGACAGAGACCCAATTCACTAGATTATATCCATAATAAAAACCAATCACTCTTTAATAGAAAACAATTCAATCCTAAGAATCAATGAAAAACCATAAAGAGCAGCACAACTAGTAAACTACAACAGTCCAACCAAACACCTACCAAACAGAGGCAACTTAATACCAAACATCATAAACTAGTAGACTACAGCAGTCCAACCAAACACTTGCCAAACAAAAAAACTTAATATCACTACCAATTAACAAATACCACTGCCAACACATAAAGAGCAGCACAACAAATTGAGGTAATCTTTTCGACACTCTAGTTTTGTAGTCTATCTCTGATTGAGGTAATCCATCATTATCATGGGAGTCTGTAATGTTTTGACTTCGGAAATGTCCAAATCATGATATTCAAATTTGCTATGGCAAATCATGCAAAAAGTCAAATTTTCTTAGGTAGCTGCTTTGAAGATTCCATGAATGTTGTACACGATCTGATACCGGAAAAGTGACAAAGCTCAAAGAAGCTTATGTTAAGGTAAATTTAATTGAATCCACACCCTGAAAGCCGAGTTAAGTTTATTTTCCTGCTCACTATAGGTAGTTATATTATTTTCTTGTGTTTCACTTTTCAAATCTGTATTTTCTGGAACTTTCACTGACCTGGATATTCTGGAAAATTTTGAGAAATGTATATTTGGCAAAAGAAATCTTGAGACTTTCAATTACAATTTGTTTCAGCATAGGAACTTAGAATTTATTTAAAAGCTATTACTGCAAGATAAAATTTTCCATTTTGGTTTTAGTTCCTTTTTGGATAACTTCTAACTCAATATAAATCAAACAAAGATCTTTCTGCAACTTTTGTAATCTTTGCAAATTTCATAGGCAAAGTAAATAACTATTTAGACTTTGTGAGAGAGAAAGAGAGAAGTGGTAGAAGAAGAAGCACAAGGAAGGAGGAGAAGAAGAAGAAATAGAAGATGTATAATATTTGGCAAGTACTGACCTTGATTGTTACTACCAGCAGATGGTCGATTGTTTAGTTGAACAGAAGCTTGTTGTGCAGAGGAAGCTTCTACGAACCTTAGCATGTCAGGATCAAGTCGCAATTCTGGGTTCAGACGCTAAAGTCGTGCGACGACGCTCATTGTAATATGTTGTTCCATAGCATCCTTTTGTTCGTTCAACTTTTCCAGCATTCTTTGTTGCATCCTCTCTTCCATTTCCTCCATTTTCTGCTGCATCCTCTCATTAGAAGCATCAGAAGATCCAAGATTTCCTATTTTCCCTTTTAAGACGGTCTTGGTAACCCCTCGTCCATACAATCTCACGCGACCGCGACCTGGATGTTCAGGTGCCATGACTGATGCAAAAGCATCAGGGAATGATTGCCATCTTGACTTTCTTGAGTTGATTGTAGTCTCTCCCTTCCAGCCTACAAACCAAATGCCAAATGCGAGAGAAAAGAGTTTAAGTATATAAAATTGAATCATTAATTAAGAATAGATAAATAATCACGGCAAACTTTAAATAAGAAATTTCTTACAATTTTACTAATCGTATTGTCATATGAGGTTTTGTATACTCGGTCAAGTTTTCTTTTTCTTGTAGCCACAAAGATGTCCTTACTTTGACAGAGTATCCGAAGTATCAGAGAGTTACTTCTTTTTGCCTAGTTACATGAAAACTAGTATAAGAATCTTTCCACGTTAAAGTTAGCAAGTTCATAATAAAAAAAAGAAAGAGAAAACATCAAACCTCGCGAATTAGAGCAAAAGGTGTTCTGCCAGCAGTGTGCGGACACTTCAACTTATTTTGATTCTCAGTATTGGTTTCGGACATTTTCTGCAAATAAATGAGTCAACCAAATAGCAACTTATTTCGATTTTCATGGTATTTTTAAAATATGCATGCAAACTATAGCTTTAGATGGAGTGCCAACCTACATTCCTTCACATAAAGTAAAACAAGAAACAAGCAGAGAATAGGTCACAGAAAGAATTGATGTAATTACCTTGTGAGGAGAGGAGTTCCAATATTTAAGAAGATCCTTAAAGTGAGATTCCGGAACATCTACTGGCCTGTTCTCCATTCAAAGCTCATCATTCTCATAGGCTTTAAAGTGGTTTGTCTTCAATTGATTCTTATACTTTCTCCAAGCAGTACAAATTGATTGAAAACCCCATGGTTTCGCCTCGTCAGGAATGTCATATTTTTCCTACATATTTAGTGCAATTGGATTAGTGTATTGAATATTGAATATTGGAAACTTCATACCTTGATATATGTTGGAAACTTCATACCTTGATATATGTTCACATATCCTCTTTTGTGTCTAGTTTTCTTCAATTAAATACATTAAGAGGACAAAAAGTCCCACTCCTTGCCAATGTGCCGAGGAAGCTACCCAACTCTTTTACAACTTCGTTAGTAGGACCAATGGGTTGAATATACTCATTTAGAATGACTCTTTTACGCTCCTTTCTTACATGAACCCTTGGCATTTGAGTACGCGCTCTTTTTCTTTTTCTTCACTTGCATGCGTTCAGAAATATTCGAAGCACACCTTTTTGGTAATTTAGCATTTTTCATGACAATACAAAATAAACTTTTCTCTTATGGTTCCATGTAGAAACATGATTTAGCCAAACTTATAGTTCCATCATTATTTATCCTTGGTTGTAACTCCTTTCGTATCCCCATTTCTTGTAAGTCATAGCGAGATTTTTCATGATCCTTTGATTTTCCATCTATTTTCAATAAAGTCCCAAGCAAACTATCACATATGTTTTTCTCAATGTGCATCACATCAAGATTGTGCCTCAATTTGTTATGCACCCAATATGGCAACTCGAAAAAAATGGATCTCTTTTTCCACGGACCCTTATCACTTCGAGGCCTTTTTTTCCTGCTCTTTCCAAAGATATTGTTGAATTCAAGTAGCTCTTCAAACACTTCTTCACCCGACAATGGAGCAGGTGCAGGTCTATGCTCCTCCTTACCAGATCTTCTTATCTCGTTGGAATGGATGATCACGAGGCAAAAATCTTCGATGGCCCAAGTAACACATCTTATGACTATGTTTGAGATATTGAGAACATGAGTCATAATTGCAAGTGGGGCATGCCAATCTCCCCTTAGTGCTCCATCCCGAAAACATTGCTAATGCTGGAAAGTCACTAACTGTCCACAGTAAGGCAGCACGCATTCGAAATGTTTGGTTGGTTTCAGCATCAAATGTGTCCATCCCAGTTTTCCATAGTTCCTTCAATTCTTCAACTAATGGTCGTAGGTACACATCTATATCATTTCCCGGAGATGATCCTACACATCTATATCATTTCCCGGAGATGATGGACCTGGAATGATCGACGACAACATTATATACTTTGGCTTCATGCAAATCCACGGTGATAAATTATAGTTCATTAACATAACATGCCACGTACTATAAGAAATGCTCATGGTCCGAAACGGGTTAAAACCATCACTTGAAAGACCCAATCTAACATTACGAGAATCTCTAGAGAAGTCTGAGTGCAAAGAATCAAAAGCCTTCCAAGCTTCCCCATCAGCAGGATTTCTTATACTCTCAGCATTGGGTCGTTCATTAGCATGTCATCTCATTGCAGCAGCCGTTTCAGGACACATGAATATCCTTTAAAGCCTAGGCTTTAAAGGAAAGTACCTTAAAACCTTTGCAGGGATTTTAGAGCTTGCTTTAGTCAAAGGACCAACACTTTTCCATCTTGAAGACCCACAAATAGAGCAATTATCGACATTCGCTTTTTCTTTCCAAAATAACATGCAATCATTAGGGCATGCATGTATTTTTTCATAATGAAGACCCAAATATTTTATCATGTTTCTAGCCTTGTTGAAAGATTCTGGTACCTGAGCAAAGGGAAATGCCTCTTTTAGCAACTCTAACAAATCTGTGAAAGCCACATTACTCAACCCATGCAAGGATTTAAGCAAGTACAACCGAATAGTGAAACTCAGTTTACTGAAATTTTCACACCCCAGATATAACTCTTGTTTTCCGTCCTCTAGTAATTTGAAAAACTTCTTTGCATCTTCAGATAGTCTTTCCTCAACTCCTTCTTCATCCCCTGCCTGACCCTCTATATTTCTAAATGCATCATGAAGTAGTCCATCAATATCGTCACGCATGGTAGATTCTTCATCATCATTGCTTGGATGAGGTGTATGTCTCAAGGAGAATCCTCCCCGTGGAAAATCCATTTGGTATAACCTTCAATAAATCCATGAACAACCAAATGATCCTCCACCACATTTCTATAATGCCAATAGCAATTCATGCACTTTTTGCAAGGGCATAATATTTCATTTCCTTGGGCGGCTCGTTCAAATGCCTTATCCAGAAAATTATTCACTCCACGAATATACTCATCTGTCCATCTCAAGAAATTCATCCAACTTTTATCACAATTATCCATAGATATCCTATACGATAAAAGTAAATCAACAAAACTAACCAAATAAACCAAAAGCATATTAATTTGACATTGACCACTGCTTTTAAGGGTGAAACTCAGAAAGTCACAAATAGTAAAGCAATTTTGGCATGAAAGGCAGAATTACTTTTCTGTAATGTAACATAATATTTTATGTTTTGACTTCTCTTACCATAAAGCAATTCTTCTAACAAAAGTAAAAAAGAAATCTTTTTTATTTGTTACATTGTCACATTCTTTCTAAATATTAATAGCAAATATCAGTTTCATTATTAACCATTTAATAAAGTTAAAAACATCGTTGGTTATCAAATTCCCGAATCTGCCGTTGATGCATATAACATAGTGCTGGTTCTAAAATTCAATAATTTTTTAATAAAGTTATACTTTACCCTGCAATTATTAAGATAGAACTAGAATTAGGAAAAAAAAGTGTAAAATATTTTCAAAAAAATTGACTATGGGAAAGAAGAAAGAGGATGAATCCCCACATCTGTTATAAGTGATTAAATTAATAACAGTAGGGGAGAGGATTGTTTTGATTAAATTAGTTATTCATTCTATGTCCCCACATCTGTTATATGTGATTCTCCCTCCTAATGGAGAATGAATAAAAATGAAAGACAAGACCCCCCGGGGAAAAGATCTGGCATAGAAAGATGCCTTTTAAAGTACCTTTCTGTATAATGAGGCTACTTGCTAGCAAAATACCAATAGATGATGTGAACATCAAACAACAGGAAAGCTCGAATCAAAGAGCAAGAACGCAAATCCCAACACTAAAAAAACAGAACGAATTGGTTGTGTTTTCTCAATGACTTCGAGTGACCTTTCATGTAAAATACAAAATACATATAATGATTCCAAACTCAAACAGCGAGTGTAGCCACAACTACAAGGACCGCATCACAGAAATAACTTAAAGTTTCTGGAAATTCTCGTTATGTTTAGGTTTATCTTGTTTCGTTTTTGTGTATCCTTTTGGGGGTCTGTACATTACTTTTTTACTGTTAGAAATCACCCATTTGTGTTTATCTGTTTTCCAGATTCCTGAAATTGCTATTATTCTTCCCAGGGATGATTTTCATGATTATCATCATCGACTGCTCTACACGAAGTCCGGCAACTACTCGTCAATATTTGTATACATGGACTGGTAACACTTGCCACATATTGCCTTAAATATTACTATCCTAGTGTCGTTTAACTAACAAAAAAATGTCAAGTTCTGGATTGGTTTAGATTGTGGTCTCTAGCTGTTCAGTATATGAATACATGTGACTCTTACCTAAAAGAGTTGTGCTTAACCTACCTTTCATAGCTCATAGACAGATACTATGAGCTAATAGTGAAAGCTGTATTTATGGTCAACCTGGTAAGATTTGTGCCATAGTTTCTGTTGGTTTAGTAGCTTAGCGGATTGTAAACTAATTCAATATTAAATGTATGATGGGCTTCCTTCCATCTTCCTCTATTATTACAACCTTATTTTAAACAATAGCACAGGGAACTTGTTTTCCCCCTTATGCAAAGGCGATGCCTGAAATTGGATAGCTTTTTTTTTACTTTTTATTTTTTGAAAAATTTAGAACCAGCCAGCCAGGAGTTGTTAATGTAAACTGGATAGATCAAAATACATTAGTTATTAAAATCTGTAAAATTGGTATATTTAAGAACTTCCTAAGTTTTGTATACCATGAAGAATAATTAGTCTCCTGCTATTTTTGGATTGAAAAAATTAAAAGACTGAATATAAATAGAGTACAAAACTTTTCATATGTTTATGTTACATAAATTGGTTAAACTAATTTTGCCATAGGTATAAAAACAAACTTAGACCCAAACTACCCAGCTTAATAGCTCATGCAACAGGAAATTCAATGTAACTTTCCAGAGAAATTTAGTTCAAATAAAAATTCACCGAAAGAAATTCTGACCCACGTTAGCCATACCGAAATGAAAATTAAACCCAAATAATTTGGGTTCAAAACGTCAACAGAAAGCAAGGAATCATATACACTGCTCACACCATAAAGCTTAAAGAAAAAAAGAACGATTACAGAAGATAATGCCCAATTTAGAAAAGAAAAATTACCTGAAGTTGATTTCTCACTAATTGCCTTTTAGGTCGAAACTTTCTCGCGATTGAAATATTTTCTTCACCTGTAATCGCTGCCTTTAAATTATTCCTCTGTTCTTCAGATCCTTCGAGTGAAACAAATGGATCCTGGGACTTTGGGCATTTGGGAGTTTTGGGCTAGCAATCGAGATCTGGGGATTTTTGGTTAACAAATGGATTTGGGGATTTGGGAATTTAGGACATGGGTTTCATCATCTTAATCACCTGTTCTTCAGATCCTTCGTTCAACATTGATTTGGGAATTTTTGGTTAGCAAGAGTTTGCTGGTGATTTGCAGGTGATTTGGGAGTCAGCGTCTTAGCGATGAGAGCATTGGAAGTGTCGACTGAGCAATTTTAATTTAGATATTGTATTTACCAAAATAAAATATATAATAAATAAAAGAAAAAACGGGTTATATTGCTGATATTTATTATGCATTTTTATGGTACTAATATATCGGCTCCTGTTGTTTTTTTTTTTTTTGAGCCGAGTGTCTCCTGGAAACAGCCTCTCTATCCTTCGGGGTAGGGGTAGGGTCTGCGTACATATTACCCTCCCCAGACCCTACCTGTGGGATTATACTGGATCGTTGTTGTTGTTGTTGTTGTTGTTGTTGTTGTTGTTGTATTGGATGGTTTAGCAAAATTTAGGGGGGTAAGCGAGGAGGGAACAAAATACCCGTTCAGTTATTAAAAAAACTTGTAAAACCGTTACTACAAATAGGCCTATTGGGACGGTTCATAAAACCGTTCCTATAAAAAACCTATGGTAACGGTTAAGTGTCAACTAGAACGATTTAGTATCTAAAGTGTGCCCATTTCATCCAAATTCTATTGTAACGGTTGTAACTGTTACCGTATCTACTTTATTGCCACGGTTTTATAATCGTTGCCAGAACAACTGTTCCTATAGGCCTATTTTTCGGTAGTGTCACTTTTAACACACTTTGCACACCGTACTATTATGGTCATGTGGTACCTTGTATGGCACTAGTCCATAAATACCGGTATTATAGCTCGGACCATATTTTATCTCCAAATGTCAAACCTCGACGAAACTCATTTTCTTCTATTCGCTTACCCTCTCACCTTCACGAATTTAGTTATCACTTGTTTGAAATAGCATAGTGATTATAATCTCAAAATAATCTCATTCTTGAACTTATGTTGGTTAACTTACGACGAAACTTCAACGTACGAAAATGCGGGATGTAACATCTCATTTCCGAGCTTATATTAATTTACTTATGGCGTACTTCCACGTACGAAAACATGGGGTGTAACAGATGTAATGTCATACGATATTAGATAAGATTAAATAACCACATTCACCAGAATGTGCAAGTAGCACACATTAAGGACAAAATGAGAAAAGATCGCATGAGATTATTTGGTCATGTCTTGTGTCGACCTACATATGTACAGATCTATAGGTGTGAAATTCTAATGAGGGAATGTCTTAAAGATGGACATGATAGACCTAAAATCACACGGAAAAAAGTTCTCTTGAAAGACCATACAAATGTTGTGCCCAGGAAAAAGTTTCAAAATTTTATAAGGCCATTAATAGGTCTAACGTGTGCTAATTATATTTATTTGTATGTGAGTGTTAATTAATAATATGAAATATATCCCACGAACATAGTAACAAGTATACGAGGTGTATTTGAAGTGTTATAAGGCCTAAGGAGAGCCCTTGGGACAAGTCAAGGTGAAAATTACATGATAGACTAAAGTTCCAAATAAGCATGCACAAGACCTAACTTTAGACGAGCATATATATATATAAGGAGCTATGTAGTGAAAAACCTATCAAATGAAATATCTTCGAGTCTAGTTTCTAACACTTCAAATTGTTTGTCATTTGGACATTCCTACAAGAAGTTATGATCAAATTAACAAAGGCTGGCAGTGAAGTACTGCCATAGCATCCATGTTCGGGCTTGGAGGAGGAGTGAACTGGGGAAGTGAAGCATCCAGGCAGCATCTGAAACCCAAAAATTTAAGCCTATAAGTATAAGGTCGGGGAGAGAGACTATATTGAGCTTTTGGGGTTAGGGATCTTGAGGTCAAGAGGCAATTTAAGCTCAAATCAAGTCCGACCAACTAAGTTAAGTTGCTAATGATTTTTTGAGTTGAATCTTACTCAATATACATGAGTTCTAATATCATTCTTACATACAAATACTAGATTTCATCATCAAATCCTCAAGAACATAAAAATTACCAAAGTTGTAGTTTTTCAAGATTGATCTATCCGAGGTAATTCTAATGCTTCAAACTCGTCTGTTATGAGTTGTTAGAAGTATTTGTAGTATTTGTTACAAGTATTAGTGGTTGAAAGATTGGATTATAAAACTCTAGTTTATGACATGAATAGTATTTTAAGAAAACGAGAGAGAAATGAATAGTATTCTTGGAAATGAAATTGATGAATGCAATGAACCTATGGAATTATTTGTAAGCAAAAGTTGGAAGTGATCAACTAAGTAATCACCTGAATTGTATATTTTACAAGTGTTGATTAAGGAAGACGATGAATAGTAATTTGGTGGCATTGGGCAATTAATATAGTATCATTAATGACTTTGAATGGGTATTAAATTATAAGAATAAAGTTGAATAGGTTAGTATGCAAATTTATTGGGTGATTTGAGTTGTTGGAAGATTGTGGCAAACTTATGAGCCATAAATGAATATTGATCAATATTCCAGGTTATATTTTGATGTAATTAGGATATCTAATTGTAAATATCGACTTGTTGGTGATGTTTGACCATTTGAATCAACAATGGAACAATAGAAGAGAATTGAAAGCTTATGACTGTTTTTTTTAGCGTAAATAGGAAATTTATATTATAGCTAGATAGGGTTCAAAATATTACAACCATAGTTGGTGTCACTTAGGACACATTTATTACCATACCTTACTAGACTATTACGAGCACCATTACTTAAGTTTTCGACAAAAACTATTTCCTCCATTTGGTCCCTTCTCAAGCTTGATTCCACAAAAGGAGGCGGTTGAACAAAAACCTTTCTCTTAGTTGGTTGAGCCTCATTTTGTTTTGCCATCTGATGTGCTAGCTCATTTCCCTACCTGAAATTGTGCCTGAGGATCACGTCCTTCTTCTGGTGCATTAACGATCTGCATGCAATTACGATATCATTAAACATGTAGTTGCCTTCATTTATGCATTGTATTACCTGTATGCAGTCTGTTTCTATTTCGAGGGGAAATAGATTCCATTCCTGTGCAGTTGTGAGTCCTTCAAGGAGAGCTAGAAGTTCTGATTCCAGTGCTCCATTTGTATAAGTGGCTTTTGTGAAGCCTACTATCCAACTACCACTTGTGTTTCTGAATACTCCTCCCAGGCCAGTTGGTTGATTTTGTTATAGCTAGCATCAATATTAAGCTTTTACCAACCCTTGGGGGGCTTATGCCATTTTATATGTATAGATATCTCCTTTAAGGGGCTGTTTGTATTTTCCGTTAGGAGCTTGTATTCAAGGGTTCTTTGCATTATAAATTTTATGTTAATAGTGTTAGAGGTATTATTTTGGTTATTGTTATTTCTGTTAATCCAGGTATTCCAAAGGATGAAAGGGAAGAGGATGTTCCAGTCTAACAATGTGTTGCTTAGTTTAATGTTTAAATCTCTGACTTGTAGTAGCCAGTGGATATCATTTGTTTTATATCTTATTTGTCATCCCACACTGTCCCAATAAAACTTACAAGCGTTACAAATAAATAAAATGTGGAATAGTGATTCCTCTTCTGTTTTACAAATTGGGCACATATGATCAATGTTTATAGAGATGTGGGATAGATAGGCTCTACAAGGAAGTCTATTGTGAAGGAATTGCCACATGAAAAATTTGATTTTGTTTGGAAAATTCTGTTTTCATATCCAATCAAAGTCTATGCTGTTAGGTTTTGATGGCTCAATTAAACTATAGCACGATTTGATGGTGAAGATACCTTTGTTTGTTTTTGACTAGATGGGGATATCCCATTTTGGCCCATCTTTTCGAATCCTAACCTTAGATATATGGTGTTTTACAGTATCCGGGAGGGCTAGTGAAAGAGTATTGAAGTTCCAATTTTTTCCATCATGAAGATCTCTAAGTATTAATTTTTTATCTTTAATTAATAGAGGTCCCTCAATTAAGCTACGTAAGTTTGTTGCCTCAGGTATCCGGTTTGTGTTCCAAACATCCATGTTAGTGCCTAAATGAGGTGACCAGGTAATACCTTCCATATAAAAGAGTGATTTTTGATAGCTTTACTGTAGACATATGTGGTGGTAATTAGGTTTACCCAAGGAGTCGTAGTGTTTGCGAGAAGTCTCCATGCTAAACTTGATAACAAACTGATATTCTTAGTTTTTGCATCCTTAATACCTAGTCCTCCATTGGATTTAGGTTGGCAAATTGTAGACCACTTTATTAGGTGTAATCTTTTCTTTTCAATCGTAGTGCCCCAAATAAAGTCTCTTTGAATTTTGTCTATATTTTTAAGGATTTTTGTGGGGAGGAGTATGTATTGCATATAATGGTTTAGGACTGTATTGAGACAAGCATTTTCTAGGGTCGTTCTGCCAGCTATGTTTACAAACCTAGTTTTCCAATTTGCCAATCTGGCTCTCATTTTATCAAGGATAAAAACGTAGTCCCTAGGACGAGGGTTTTTTGTTAAGATTGGAAAACCTAGGTAGGTTCCAAAGGTATTACTTTTTTCAAGACCTAGGGTGGAGGCAATGTCCTTAGTGATGTTTGGTTGGCAATCATTGGAGAAGATAATTTTTGACTTAGTGGTTTTTACATTTTGCCCTGAAAGATTGCAGAATAATCCTAGACCTATTTTAATTGCTTGGCAGGATGGGTTGTTTGCCTTAACCATAAGGGTTAGGTCATCTGCAAAAAAAGGTGAGAGAATAGAGGACTTTTCCTGCCTATTTGAATTGGATTCCAATTTCGGACATCCACTTGATGATTAATATCTAGAGAACATTTCCATGCAAAGTATAAAAATGTAGGGAGATATGGGGTCTCCTTGTCTAATGCCCCTACTAGGTTCAAAAAAGTTTGTGATTGATTCATTTACTAGAACCCCTATTGAGCTAGTGGTAATGCAGCTCATTAAGAGATTAGTAAATTTTGGTGGTTCAGTATATAAAGGAATATTCTAGTCGGTCGAAGGCTTTTTCAAGATCGATTTTTAAAATCAACTGGCCCCGTTTGCCTTTTAGTTTTTTAAAATTGGAGATTAATTCTTGAATAATAATCGCATTATCAGATGCTCTTCTATGCTTGATAAAGCTTGTTTGGAAAGGACTAATAATATGTTTTA